CCGCCCCGGGGAGCAGATATTTTTAATCTGCTTTTTTAATCAGGAGAAAAGCCCCGCGCGGCGCAGGCAGCAGCCAGGGAGGTTTCAGCTCTTCCCAAGCAGGAAAATGCCCGGAGGGGACAGACACTGATATTTTTAATCTCTTTTTAATTAAGGATAAAGCCCTGCCTTACGTCAGGGAGCTGAAAAAGCGGGGGGTCTTTTACTTTATTGCAGACTCCAAGCTCGTCGGAGGGGTCCGGAGGCGTGTGGGGAGGGGATATTTTGGGGCTCTGACCTGGATTTGGAGATTTGGGGTAGGATGGGGACTCTCTGGCAGCCTCAATTTCCCCTCTTCATTCACCCCATTTTGCGCTGGGGGCATCTGTGGACCCCCAAATCCCCCAGACCCCACGCCACCAACCTCACCCCCAGCATCCCCAACACGGGGAAGGGGGCACATGGGCACAGGACTCATTTTGGGGTGATGCATCCAAAGCCGTGCCCATCACAGCCACCATCTCATCTAGGGGGTTGTGCTTGGGAAAAGCCCGGGAAGAAGCAGCTCTGCATCTTAGAGAAGGATGCTCGTTAGCTTCCATCCCTAACGACCCCAAGGATGATTAATACAAGCTGCTCGGGGGGTCAGCACTGGGATGCAAAGCTAATGGGAGATGATACCCAGCCTTCGCCCTGCTCACCCAGCGCAATGAGGCCGGGAGCATTAAAAGCTCCTGCTTTCTTCTCTCTGCAGACACCACTGCTGCTGTCCCCAGCCTAACTCCATCAAGAAAATGAAAGTTGGGGGGAAAGCAGCAGGACAGAAAGCTACTGGGTCAGAATATCCCTGGGGAGAGCAGAGCAACGAAGGATGAAGGATGCTCGGGGTCAGCCCAGAGGCCGGGAGCCGGGGTACTCCGGCTCCCGGCTTCCGGGCTGACCCCGAGCATCCCATCTGTGCATCCCAGAGTATCCCATCCATGCTGGCTCTTTCCCACCTCTAAGGAAACTCCACCTGATTTCTTGAGGGATGCCATCAGCCCAAGGATGCTCCGGTGCAAAGGATGCAGGAGCGAGCACAGGACTGGACCCTTAAATTTTTATAGGACTGGGGTAGGACATGGGGGAAGCAGTTCCAGGGTGACGCATGAGCAACAGATCACCCATGGGACTTGCTAAACACCACCGGGATGCTAAACCACACCAATCCTGCCCACGGCAAGAATACCTAAAGCTCTTCCATGTATAACCATCCCCCAGCTGCCTTCATGCAGCAGGAGAAACCCCAACACCCACCCAAACCTACCTTTCAGGCAGGATAACTTGAGCCCCATGTTTTCATCCTCTCAGCGGGACCCAGCTCTCCAGCCCCACCGCCGGTCCTCACCGCTGGTGCTGCAAAAGAGAGGAGAGGGTTGCGGGAAGCGACGCTGGGAGGAAGGAGAATGAACGCAATCACTGGCTAAAAGCTCGCACCTATGCATGCGTGTATATATATCTATAGGCGCCCGGGCATAACAGGAAGCACGGCTGCTCAGTAGCAAAAACCACGAGTGATGTCACGGCATTTTAGTGACTCAATCTCAGCCGCCAAGTTTCAGGAGGAACTTTTTTGGGAGGGCAGAGAAGGAGCCTGTTGTTTCTGGGTGGGGGTGGGTCTCATCCCAACTTCTCCGCTCCCGGGGTCAGCGCTGCAAACATTTGCAGGTGAGAAGGTCACGAGCGGGAGGAATTAGGTTGTTGTTTCGGTGCTTTTAGAGAAAACCCTCAGCCCACGCGCAGGAAATAGAGGGATGCTCAGCTGCAGCATCACCCCCGGGGCTGCCTCCCTCCTCGGGGCTGAGCCGAGCGGCTGGCGGCAACCGTGGATGCGCTGTCAGGGAGCACCCTGTCCTGCTCCGTTTGGGCATCCCTGATGCCCTATGAGCTTTTGGGTGGATGATTCCCATTGTGGTACATCGCTTTTGTTAAAATGCTGAAAATTATTCTGGGGAGAAAAAAAAAAAATCCCTTTACTGGGAAACCTGCATCCCTCCTGCCCACAGCTGCTGGGAAAAGCTTATTGGGATGAGGGTCGGTGACTCATTTAGGCTCTTCCAAGCTCCGGGGCTTGCAGAGAGAGAAGCAAACCTTCCGCTGCCCCCTGCCCGACCTCCGCCACGGCTTTACTTCACCTTTCCAAGCGGCTCTGAGGCAGGCTGGCAGCTGCCGGCGAGGGGAAGCGGGAACTTGCCATCGCTGGTTTTAATTCTGCATTTTTTTATCAGCTCCCCACAGACCCCCACCTGAGCCGTGACCTTCCCCGTGCCTGGGGAGCTGTGCCAGGGCCGGGAACGGAGCTCCCCCCGAGGACCCCCACTTTGCAGCTATTGCGGCGGCTGCCTAAATATCAAGAAACCCGTTCTGAAGGCCAGTTCTCTGGGTTTTGGCACCTGCTGGTGGCTCGCACTACCAGGCACCCCAGCTGCTCAGGGCTGGAGAAGGGTTGTGCTGGGGAGACCCAGTCCCACGGTGCAGGGTGTGTGTGGGGGTCTCCTTTGGGACCAGACCCCCACGGCCAAGCCCTTGCAGGTGACAGCAGCCCCCTCCCCACCGCCGCTGGCTCTTAGCCCCGCATCCCTGCTGTGGCCAAGGACCAGCACCCCTTCCTCGCAGCACCAGGGGAGATGCTTGGGCAGAGATATCCCTCCCCGCTC